TATATATTTATATAGAGCTTATCGTTTCTCAAGCTGTTTGAGATAATTTTATCTCCCGCTATTAAATCATAACCGTACAAAGATGGATCACTGGTTATAAAGGAAAAGAGAGAAAAATGAATCATAATCATCAGAGGTGAATCAATTAATATAAGAAAATAAATAAATAAAACGACGTAGTTTTGGGGTGACCAAATATAAATATATCTCAAGCAGCTTGAGAAATATTTTTCTCATATATATATATATATATATATATATATATATATATATATATATATATAAAATATGGTAAAATTATTTCTGCAGTCGCTTTACATACAACAACGACAGGTGTATGGTTATGAATCCCAATATTTAATGCTTTCATCCTTTGTATGATTATGATTCCCCACAATTAATGTTTTCAAGTATATATATGACAAGTATTTGATTGCTGCATGTACAACAGCTGCAGAAAGATAAACTCCTATATATATTTTCCCTTTTTTCCAAAATGAAAGAAAGTGATTTCGTTTAAATTTCTCCTTTTTTTTATAATTCTATGTTAGTCCCTCCCATTTCTTCTTTTTAGAAAGGAGTATGATGTTCCCGAAGAAACAAAAAAGTGCTCCTTGTAGTGAACGCGATGGAAATACTCTTGTCAAATATTAAAAAAGGTATGATATTTTTCTGCATTATTAATTCATGTGTAAGCAACAAATTAGGTTAGTTTATTATATCTATTTCAAAGTATATTTTATTTAAGTTCATTATGCATAAAAAATTATTAATACTTCAAGTGGAGAAAATTTTGAATATTTTAATTAAAATATTCAAAATATCATCACTTCATTACTATTTATTTTCATATTTAATAAAAATGTTTTAAAATTGAAAAAATAACTAATGTTTTCTCATATTAACAAAAAAAAATAAAATGAAATTTGGCGCCTGGCACCTTCTTTCCACAAAAAAAAACGAAAATTTCTTTATTGAAAATAGCACATATTTTCGAAAAGGTTATTATTACAATTTTTTTGCCTTACAATTTCTTACAATTATTTTTGTTATCGTTATTAGATCAAAATAATATCAAGTAAGAGACTTTGATTTGATTTTGATTCAACGATAACAGAGAATGTTATAAGACAAAAAAGATTGTATGTAACCTCCCTTCATGTTTTGAGATGAAAAAAATATTTCATTTTCAGTTTTATAAAAGAATATAAAAAATTATTTCAATTTAAAAAATCAAGTTTTAAGGTGAATGCTATATTAATGATTTAATATTATATTTATCTAAGATGTCATCTCATATAAGATTTTATTGAATTTGAAGCAGGGTGAAAAATATACATAACCACCTACATTGATATCATGTATTCGAATCAATCCAACACTTAAAGTATTAGGTGAATGCCACATTAATTGTGTTATATTATTTATTTTTTTATAAAAAATAACACATATTTAACATGTTTTTAGAAGAAAAAAAGTACTTATAACAAATTATTTTTTTAATTTCTCTCAATTTTTAAAAAAAGTAACTATTTTGTTGATCAAGTTAATTCAATCACACAGCGGAAGTAAAATGTATTATTACAATGTACCAAAAAAAATGTATTATTACATGTAAGAATTCCTCCATTTCTATATTTTACTAAATGAAAATAGTTAGACAAGGAAAACGCACTTTGCATATATGTAACGGTTCTACATGAGGGAAGGGACAACATAGAGCTAGTAATAATCATCACTAAGACATAATAAGTCCCTGTAAGCTCTCTTCAATCTGACACCGTATCTAATTCGGATTTTGAATTCTCTCGTCTGTTTGTTTGCTATGTTTCTTTCCTCTGTGGCTGATAGGGGAATCCTGTCCCATAAGAAAATATCAAAAGGAAAATCATGTTAGAATCCAATTTGATTTTGAACAAGCCAAGAAAAAGCCAAACAAGCTGCATGTGCACCTGCTAAAGGACTCAGAAATCGCTTTCAACAGGCAAATGGCACATATACCTTGATTCACGTTCAACAACTGCACATGCATGTGCCATCTATATATTTTACCATGAAAGACTAGCATGGCTTAATTTCAATTCATTTCTCTCAGACACTGATTTTTTCTTCTCATTCATTTGTTGATCTCAGGAGATAACATAACCCCTTTAAAAAAAAATAGGCATTAATTTTCCGCAACTGTGGCAGAAAAAAGAAGTCTCCTATATACACAAAAAATGGGCTCCACTAATAAAAAATAAAATAATACGTGACACTATATTTTACTATTAAGACATAATTTGGGTAGAAAAATATGTGCTACAATTATAGAAATGTTTTTCTGAAAAAGGGATAGGATATTGTGACACACAAATAATGTTACGCACAATGTTACGACCACATCTTAACCGTTGATTTTCGCCAATCAACGGTTATCATTTATTGCGAATTAATAATTAATTAATGAGTTTGATTTGAAAAATGATAACCGTTGATTGGCGAAAATCAACGATTAAGATGTGATCGTAACATTGGGCGTAACATTATTTGTGTGTCACAATATCTTATTCCAAAAGAATATACTATTTTTTTAATTTATCTCTCTCTTTTTCTGGTGCCTATTTATTGTGGCCTTTTTATTATGCTGAGTGCAAGTTGCCAAGAAGGGAATGGCATTAAATGGGGTTGGGTTCTCACTAGCCAAACTTCAAATTAGGTTACCCAAGCCCATACCATATGACCCTTGTGCTTATCCATGGTAGCCTAACTTGTAAGAGCACCATAAACAAAAAATATGGTAACCTAATTTGACCTACCAATTCTCCACTAAATAAAAGAGCGTCCACTGAACCAGCAAGCCTGATATGGACAATCACTACCAACTAATTTGACATCATGATGTGTCCTTTTTTTAATAGATAATTTCCAACTTAACAAAATAAACAAATAGGTTAGTTAGCAAAGCATCAGAAATATTTATATAAAAAAAAAAAAACACTAATGCCGAGAATCGCGGTTTCTGTATCATTTCGACGTATAAATCTCAAATCAATTTTATCGTTTTCCATGCAGGATCTTATCTACGAAGATTCATGATTTATACACTCGATAATCATCATAAATGATTTGCTTTTCAGAAAATCAAAGTCCAGCTGGGTCGAGAGACAACTTACAAAAATTTTAAAAATATATTTAGAAGCGCGTGAGAGGGATTTATATAATTATATATTCTCTGTACCCTTTATTATAGTATAGAAAGCTATATTAAACACCTCAAGTTAATTACTTTATAATAATAAATAAGAGCAATTTTTTAAAAAAAAGATTCCAACGAAACGAGTCTTCTTCAACTTACCATCAAAATATCATCACCCATGTGCAGGGTTGCTTTAACTTTCTCTGATGTGTACTTTGGTGTATCGGGTCATCAACAGTAACAGGACATGTTCAGTTGCAAAGCGACCGTCCGTGACAATAGATGAGATGAGACCCACATCACAGACGTAGGGGACTATGTAACCGTGAACCTATGAAATTTATTGCTTCGGTGTGGTTACAATTGAGTAATGTTACTTCTTTTTAACAATAAATTCCCACCAATTTAAACATGATCAGTTACTCTCTCTCTCTCTCTCTGGGATTTTTCAAACTCTTAATCTTGGGTAGTGTATTTTCCTTGTCTAGAAATAAAGCACCTTATTGTTACATGACACAATTTAGGAATGTGCAAGGATGGAATCAAATTGAATTTTTTGAAAAATTGAACCGAATTAGTTTAAACGATTTAGTTCAAAATTAATTTGATTCGGTTCGAAATGGTTCAGTTCGGTTTGGAATTGAGTCGGGCCAACTCTATTTTTTTTAAAAATAATAAAAATCAGTTTGGTTTGATTCGAAAACGGTTCGGTTCGAAAACGGTTCAGCTCGGTTCAAAAATGATTCGGTTCTTGAACTGGTTCTAAAAATCGGTTCGGTTCATGAATTGATTTTTAAAAATCAGTTATTTTAAGTGCAATTCAGTTCAATTCGATATAATTTTTAATTATTTTACACATCTCTGACATAATTTCTTTTTCCTATACAATTTCTATGAAGTGGGACCCCTAATATTTTCTTTCTTTGATAACTTAATATTTATGTGTCTATGAAATGATACAAGAAGTATTATTTAATATTATATTCATAAAGCACCTTATTGTTAATTATGATGAAATTATTTCCTATATACCTTAACTAAGTAATAAAAAACCTTTCATAATTTTCAAAAAAAAAAAAAAAACCTTTCATTGACCTAAAACACATTGGTATTTATGGCAGTCAAAACTGAAAGTTACCTCGTTTTACTAGAAAGAATTTTGTATGTTCAATTCCACAAACCATTTGGTCGTTTACCTAGGCGGCTGTGAAATTGTGCTTTCCTTAGTCTCTGTTCAAAAACAGAGACAGAAGCAGTAAATGTTCATGAAGAAAGAGAAACCCATTTCACCAAAATATAAGGTAATGTCATTAATGCGAATTTCTCTGCATCCAAAAAGCATTAAAGAGAATTTTGAAAAGGCCAAAAAGGGGGACAAAAAAGAGATTAAAAAAAAAGTAGAGAGAAGCCGGTGCTATGTTGCAAAAGAGGAATGTGAGGTAGTAAAAGGGTATTTGCGGCAAATGGAAGATGCTTGCATGTGCCATTGGCAGCATGCTAACCATCCTAGTTCAAACCGCTATGCCCCACATGGATTTTTAAGAATTTCCCGCTATGAAAGCTACAAAACCACACGGTTTCCATCGCAAAACAGCCTTTGTAACTTCAAAAATAGGGTCCCTCACTCCCTTGGCAATTTGAACTGTTTTAATGTGTTACAAACCACTTATACCCCTAGCGGTTTATGGTCCCAAAAATTTAAAAGCGATAGCTAAAGTTGTGAACGTGGCCCTAGCTTTCCCAATACTTGTGGCTTCCCTACCCTTACTCCAAGGTCTATAAATTAAGGGGCACTCCTCTTCATTTTCTTCACTCATCTACTCACATTGTCGCTCATTAGTGTCGTGGTCCTCCTCCACTTACTCTTCAATATCAAAGTAATTGCATTTTACAATCCTACCGAATGTTGCTTCATTATGTGAAAGTCCAAACTGCACTTTCTTTAGCTAAATGTTGCAACTTGAAAGAATTACAAGAAGGAAATGACTGATTATTTTGTTTTCGATGTTCAGGTAAAATGGCTCTCATTGGTTTGCTATCGGTCGGTTTTCTCACAATGTTCTCCACTGCCTATGGCTATGATGGTGGGTGGATTAATGCACATGCCACCTTCTATGGAGGAAGTGATGCATCAGGAACAATGGGTATGCTGCACTACAAAAAATTTCCCACATTTTTCTTTTGGTAAAATGTGGTTGTTGTTTGTTGGAGCATGTTTTGAGTAAACCAACATAACTAATTTGTTTGCTAATGAAATTTGTTCAGGTGGGGCATGTGGATATGGGAACCTCTACAGCCAGGGGTATGGAACAAACACTGCTGCTCTGAGCACAGCTCTGTTCAACAATGGTCTTAGCTGTGGCTCTTGCTATGAGATTAGGTGTATGAATGACAATAGGTGGTGCTTGCCTGGCTCCATTTTGGTCACTGCCACCAATTTCTGCCCTCCAAATAATGCTTTACCCAACAATGCAGGGGGTTGGTGTAACCCTCCTCAGCACCACTTTGATCTCGCTCAGCCTGTATTCCTGCGCATTGCCCAATACAAAGCTGGAATTGTGCCTGTGGCTTACAGAAGGTAATATGTCTTCTTCTTTTTTTCACTTTAGAGCTAGTGAAATGGGTTGGTCCCCTTTGTCACTTTCAACTAGTAAAAGGAATTTTCTTATCCCCCCCTTTTCTTTATCACATGTTTTTGGAAGTTTCCCCACTTTCTTTATGAGTGGTAAATGAGGCAACCTAGTTTTATTATTGGAATTGGTAACTTTTCAAGTTAAATTACTTCTTTTAGCCAAATGGTAGGTGGATGGTAACTAAGCTGTGTTCCATTTTTTTTTTTTTTAACTTTTTTGTGTGTGTGTGTGGATTTTGTGTAGGGTGCCCTGTAGGAGAAAGGGTGGAATAAGGTTCACTATCAATGGTCATTCCTACTTCAACCTAGTCCTAGTCACAAATGTTGGTGGTGCTGGGGATGTACATTCTGTGGCCATTAAAGGGTCTAGAACTGGATGGATGCCAATGTCAAGGAACTGGGGCCAGAACTGGCAGAGCAACAACTATCTGAATGGCCAAAGCTTGTCTTTCAAGGTCACCACCAGTGATGGCCGTACTGTGGTCTCCAACAATGCTGCCCCAGCTGGCTGGTCCTTCGGCCAAACCTACACTGGTGCTCAATTCCGCTAGAGACCATATCCAAGTTCCAAGTCACATATTTATATACACTATATATGGTTTATATATAGCGTATTATTATCTCCTATTTAAATATTAGTTTGACTCAATGGTATACTAGGGTATTAGATAGTATGCTACTTGGTGGTGGTAATGTGTTGGCATTCTAGGGTTCAGAAAATGGGAAGTGCTTATTTTAAATTGGCTCTTCATCATTTTGATGGTATCAATAGGGAGGTTCCTATTTCTTAGGGCCTTTTCTAATATTGGTTTTTTTTTTTCTTCTCATTTTTGAAAGCTTTGTAACATTCTGCTGCTAAATAGAAGCTAGCAGAGATGGGCTTTTTTATATTTTATCTGTAACCTACTAAATTGGATGAGGTGGACTCTCGTACTACCCGCCGTTAGTATTGGAATAGTGTTTATTTCTTTTTTCTTTGCTGTGAGTGTTAGAAGCATTGTTTGCTCACTAATTGGTTGTGAGCAGCCTAGGCTGAGTATGTCTTTTGGTCATATTAGAGACTGAAAAGTGTAAAATTTTCAATTTCTGCATGTAATGGAAAGTTGCAGTAATTTACGATTACTACTTAGTTATTTATGTATCTATAAGAGTTAAATTAGCTCGAGAAGCATAACGTTGTTAAAAATTAATTATTATTTGAGAAAAATTAATTTAAAATTAATTAATGATATTGTATATAGTCAAATATTACCTAAAATCGTAGAAGGATTTGAAAAATATGTAGGTAGTAAACTCTTCAATGTATATATATATATATATATATATATATATATATATATATATATATATATATATATATATATATATATATATATATAGTTTGTTTTTTTTAAAGTTATTTTAGATAATTTTATTTAATGTTCATCGAAACCACGTCGCTGTGGGGTGGAAATTATGGTGTTTTTGTAATTTTAATTTATTTCAAGGTTATAATAGCTTTTATCATTCTAATTTTTTTATTTTTCAACCCAAAACGTTGTCGTTTCAATGAATATTAAACAAAGTTATCTAAAGTAACATTAACTACTTTTTTCCTATATATATATATATGTGTGTGGGAAAAAGACTTCTCATGTTGCATGAGAAATCTTTCCTCCTATCACTGTCTCACTTCAATGTTTGTGCCAGTCACTTTTCTATTATTTTATTTTTTTAAAGGTGGGCTCTACCTCTTTCTCTCTGGAGGAAAACTTCAATTTCTCGTGCAATACAAGAAATTACAAGTCATATATATATATATATATATATATATATATATATATATGAGGGGGGATATTTTGACTACTAAAAATGTCCATTACCACCTTACTACCTATCAAATCACCATTGGATCAAAGAGAGAGAATGTTAAAAAGTTTTTGAAAAGAGAGAAAATGTTAATCCAATGGTGATTAGATAGGTAGTAAGGTGGTAGTAAAAACAAGTGTTATGCAACATGAAAATGGTTTACTTTCCTACAGACACTTTGAAATTCGTGTTTTCTTATTTCATTTTATTTTTTAAAAAAATTGTGGTGTGTCCCATTGGTTTTTGTGTGTATAGCATGATGAGACTAATATCCTGCAACATTATAATCGTTTGACCGTGTGTGTGTATATATATATATATATATATATATTGGGAAAAAGAATTCTTATGTTGTAGGAGAGCTCTTTTCTCATGTTAGTGAGAGTTCGTTTTGCGTGCAATAATTTTTTTTGTTTTCTTCATTTTTTATGTGTGGGCTCCACTATAAATTTAAGTGTGTGGGAGATTTCCTCCTCCAATAGTATGAGAAAAGCATTGCCCATATATATATATATATATTATGAATAAATAATGAATACCAAATATATATTTGGTTATTATGAATAAATAATGAATACCAAATTTAATAATTTATAACCCTTTTCAAGTATTTTTAATTTAAATTGTGAAATTTTACCATTAACATGTCCGTCCAAAGCATGACACTATATCTCGATCCAATTTCTTTATCCCAAGGGTTGAATTTAATGCTCTATCTACCATGTTTGCAAATAATAAAACAGAGGATAGTAAAAAGTTATCTTTACAAAAAAATAAAAATAAAATTTATCCTATACATATTATATAAGATGGGTCAAGAAGACAATTCTCATGGCCTTTCTTGGGCAACAAATTAGGACAGGAAGACAATTTTGGGCTAACGTATTATATTATTGTCTTGGGTTGTACCAAACACAAGGATTAATAATATTATATTATTGCTTAATGGGAACACTAACAACGAAGCTTGGTACTCTACTCTACAGAATATCTATCATTCGATTTGGTCCAACAATGGAGTGTAAGCAAGATACGGTACTTTTCCCTCAGGCAAAGATGGACCCTTACCTCCAAGTTGGGCTTCAGCAACATCATGTGGCCCATGGACTGATGCAATGATGTAAGCAAGAGGCAAATGACCCACATTCTCCAACATTTTAACACCTTTTGAAATGACAAGAATGTAAAATCTGAAATTCACCTTCGGGCTAATCAATTCCATTTTAATGTTATCTTGGTTATTAAATCAAATATGCAGAACCCATTATCCTTATGTAATTTATGGCTAAATTTCAAGCCGCCCCATCAAACTCCTTTTGACTATTTTAAGCTTCACATGAGAGTTGATGAGGGAAGAATTCTGTATGACAAGCGCAACAGAGAAGGTTGCATGCCAAGGCACATAGAATATTGTAATATCCAACCTTGAACATAGCCTGGAAAGTATTGTTCTTAGATGCATATTTGTTGGCTAAACTTAATATGTTGAAAAAAACAAACTTCTTGTCAAACTTGTTGATAAATATGAAGAAGAAACTTTCTGAAATTTATCGACACTCAAGTTATAAAAAATTATTTTAGTAAATATTTATCTTTTTTAAGGTAATTAATTATGTTTATTTTGATGAGTCTTTTGGTTGAAATTAAATTAACGTTTTAATTTTATGTTCTATTTAATATCAAAATACATACAAAATTTGTTTAATTGGGATTGATAAAAAAAACCCTTTGTTATCTAAAAGTGATAATCAATATTTAGAAATTAAAAAGCTAATCAATATTATCTTAAATATGTCTCAAATAACCCTAAAATTAGTCTGAGTTTGGATTAAAATTCAAGTGTGTGCTTCATGACTCAATCCAGCAATATGAAACTCCATCACTATTGAATGTCATTCAAAAATTAACCTTAACTATTTAAAAAATTAAGACCGAAAAATTGATGTCAGCTTATATATCATCGGTGACAGTGAGAATTGAGGAATGTCTAGAACAACTCTTGGTGTGTTTTGGTGACTCCCAATACACACAAGACAAGGAAGCTCATACATTATAAAATATATGGAGTTTGTGATCTAGCTCGTTTGAATGGGCTTTTTTTTAGAAGAAGGTCTGATGTGGAAGTCCACCCATGGTTGTTAGAGTCATACCCTGGCCTAGGTGCTTCAAAGCTTCCATTCACATGATAATCTACATGGTTTTCATGAGGGTTCAGCTCTGCAACATGTTGGAGCTTCATATCATTTAGTAAATTAAAATTGTTTGGTAGGTATAGAAATTGCCCACTTAATTGTAGTCTCACAGGAGCAGTACTAAAGGACACCATTTTCTTGCCCTGAATTGGAAATATCTATTTTGGTGCTTGAGCCAAGATAACTAGGATAACTCCCAAAAGGAAGAACTTGCTGAGCCCTCCACATCTCTAAGAAAGAAATAAATCAATTTGATAAGTTGAGTTAGAAATAACTAACCCAAAAGATCTTTAATCGAATATTTATCATCTACTTTTTGTGTTTTGTATGAAATCTTATACATAAGACATGATGTTTATAAGATCATTCATCATTTCCACTAAAATACTAGTTGAGACTTTGCTCTAATTAAAAGATTCTTAACAATGACTTGCGATGTGAATATATTAAGCAAACTTAGAGGAATATCAAATAAGAAGTTTGAATCATTCATTACATTTGCTTCAGGAAAAAAAAAAAAAAAGCTCACTTGTGGAGAAGCAAGTTTGAGTCCTCAGGTAGAACCACATTTTGGCTGTCACCATTAGCAATCCATGATAAAGGTTGGAGATGCTGCTGAGCACTCATTCTGAAGGGAACATGCATTTCGTTGAACTGGAAAATAAAGATGTTTCAGCCGTGTCTCCTTTATCTTTCATTTTTACCATTTCAAATAAACCATCAAGGTCAAAATTTTACGAATATTTTCAAACTAATTTAACAAATAAAAAAAATTAGAAGATGGTGAAAAAAATTGCGTTACCAAAGGATTATACAATTTTATTTTATTTATTTTTAGGAAGGAGGGGGTTTACAAAGTACAAACAAACATTTAATTTCTTTTTGGTACAAACAAACAATTTATTTTATTAATTGATTTTGGGGAATATCAAAAGATTTTAGGGACCACCAATTGGTGAAAATGAAAAGTTACTTGGAGAACGTGGACAGCTTTCTATACATGTGCGTTGATTACCGTGTATATTTGTGAGAGTTAAAAATATTAATTTCATTTTCAGAATATAAGCTAATTTTGTGTTTGGAAAAGGAGAGTTACTATGACAAGTTGTTTTAGTTGTATACACAAGTTGCCCCTTAACATTTCTCAATTTGATATTAATAAATCTTATCTTATCTATATATAAAATTTTAAACCATTCTTCGAAAAATTTGCTAATGTGTCGCTCTTTCTTTCAATATTCACTTTATGTTCACACTTAAAACCACCGTGAAATATTTCATATTTAGTAACTTTTAAAATTCGAAATTTAAACTTGATAGGTTGGAAAAAAGTTCAACATTCTTTGGTGGAAAACAACTGTATTAATATCTCACTACTTTCTATATGAGTAATTGTTAAGCCTATTAATAATACAACTACTTTCTACATAGAAAATTGCTAAGCCTATTAATAATATTTATTATTATGTCTATTAGGATTAATTAAATTTTTTGGGTCTACAAATGAACCAATGATTATTAGGATTAATAATACCACAATTTCATAAATTACAATTGCAATAATATCTGAATACAAAACATAAATTTTTTTATCATATTTAATAAATTACGTGTACTTAATAGAAATTTGAATAAATAAATCGCGTGTTAACGAAGAACTTTTTTTAAAAAAATATTTTAAAAAACAAGAATGTCATACTTATATCCACACAATCGATAGGAGCATCAATAAATACTTTAATGCCTTTTGTATTAGATCCTAATTGCATATATATTGGTGCGTGACATGTTTCGTGAGTCTAATGAAATTATGAAATTTGTTGGATGTGTGCTTTTTGTTTGTTTACTTCTAATAGATGATAAATATTACAAAATACATATAAAAACTTTCATAATTAATTTTTTAAAATTTGTAAATTTATTTTTTTAAATAAATAAATTCATATATGATAAATAGCTCTAGCATGAAGAATCATTCTTTTAAAAATGGATCATTCTAACAGTTTACCTAGATATA